AATAACACCTTTTGGGGTGCTATTTTAACACCACTTTGTAGGGTGTCAAATTAGCACCTGCAAAGGTGTTAAAATAACTCCATTTTTAGTGTTATAATAGCACCCTTTTCGGTGTTGTTTTAGCACTCTAACCTTAGTGTTAAAATAACACTCAATTTTAATGTTATTTTAGCATTATCGAATATTAAAAATGTATATCCCTTCTATCCAACACACAAAACAATTAATAAAATAATCTGTTGAAAAATTTATTTACATTATACTTTACAGCATTACTTATCTATGTCATATATGAAGTTTATAGTAAATTCAGAGTTATTGCACCTAAAGTTTACACTATATAGAAACATTCACAGAAATAGACCATGATTGTGACGCCATAACTCTCCTCGTACTACACTCTAGTCATTAAAGATTTAGAACAATACCGTAAACTTCCAACTATAAGCCCTGGGCTTACATTCTTTCGTAAGCGATTTTTGATGGGCTTATATAGGGGGGGGGGAAACTTATATACAGGGGGCGTATACATGGACAATCTTTTGTGTTAGTTTAATAGTAATAAACAAGTATAGTAATAGTGATAAACAAGTGTTAAACAAGCATAGTAATAATAATGATAAATAGTTGTAATAGTGATAAAGAAGTAGGCTTATTTATATTTGGGTGGGCTTATATTCAGGGGGGGGGGGCTTATATTTGGAATGAGGTGAGCGTTAGTACATGTGGTGGGCTTATACGTGGGGGGGACTTATACATGGGGGGCTTATATTTGGAGATTTACGGTATATCCTGCATGTACAACACATGCATTACATTAATAATATAATATCATCATTATCATAAATTGTGCATTATCATAAACTGCAGGTTGTTGGCTATATTGCACAATTTGAATTTTTCACAAACATTCCCTGTGCAATCAATGAAATCAAACTTATCTCTTCCAGAGGTCCAGTACCAACAGACAAGGGGTTGAGATCCTGATAAAAGGGGTTCAGCATCCTCTACACAAAAAGATTTAAACATAGAATAAATTTCTGTACAGTATACATACACATATTAAGTTCGTTCAATTAAGTATCTTAATCTATGTTAATTGTTTAATCCATGTCCATAATATAAACACACAGATACTAAACAATTGTTTCTTCAAAACATGTAATCACTGTAATCAATCATACAGCAAAGTAGACTATTCACTAGCTACAGTTGCAAACAGTAGATTGTTTAACTACCTAAAAAAATAAGAATTTCTTTGAATGATTTTCTTATTTTTCAATCAGTAATTAAAAAACCTACTTTTGAAAATACTTCTCACAATTACATACTTTGATTCAGTTGGACCATTTCAATACAGTTTATATCCGTCACAATCCAAATGAAAGTTTATGTTACCGGTGAAAATAATTTGTACCAATAGAATCTTTGGTGAATGGTACTCTAACCCACTAAGCGGGAGCCCTCTCCCCTTGACTTGTAAGTAAAATCTGGTGTTAGTCAAAGTAAAATAATAAAGTAGGGTGCAATTTATGTGGCATAGTTGACATGAAGGGGGTAACTAGGCACATGGGCAGATATGACAGTTAACCCATTAAGCACCAGCTCTCTCCCCTTGATAAGTAAAATCATCTGGGATCAGACAGAGTTAAATAGTCTGGCATTAAATAAAGTCGGCTACAAAATGAAATTCGTATTATTTTACATTCCAAGTTTATTTGTAGATACTGTAATTCATTTTCAATTAATAATTTAACGTCAATTATTGATCATTTATTGGTATTGTCAAATTGCCACAAGATAACAGAGATAAGTTGACATAAAACCCACCCACTTATAATTCGATTCGATGTTGTTGTGGCAACATGAATATGGACGTGGCCCCTTAAACAGTTTCTTTATGCATAAAATTGTGAGCCTGGAAATTCTCAGAAGCATATAAACAATAGTATGAGGGACTCAAACATGTATCCTCAATATATTACAGATACAGATATTTCACAGCACACTCCCTATAGGGCTTTTCAGTGACTGGTTACATTATGGATAGATAGATAGAACCGGACTGACGTGAAGCAGACGAGGTTGACTTTGAGCTTACAAATGGCGCTTGAGCATGCAGCCCATAGAGATTATAAATAACACTAGAGGAGGCATCGAGTTTAAAAATTGGGAACGCAGCTAATGGGGGGCAAATTCAAGTCCCGGATATAAAATCGGGCTCTCATTGGCTGATTTGAAACTCGTCACCAATGGGAACACGAATACACATCCGGGACTTGAATTTGCCCCCCAATAGTCGCGTTCCCTTTTTTTACTGAATTAAGATTACAATGCCTCCTCTAGTGTTATTTATAATCTCTATGATGCAGCCACTATTAGTCGGTACCTCATTAATGATCTGACTCCAGACCTATGTGCCTAACCCATCCTGTCAACTTTCCCTGTGGGAGGAAACACGGAGTACCCGGAGAAAACCCACGACTTTTGGCAGAGCGTTGACTTTTACTCTTTTCACATGGGGACTGGGTTCGAGTCACATTGAGAAGTTCTCACTGAGATTCGAACCTGCGGCCTTAGAGGTGAA